CACATAATAAAAAGTTTTAAATTGGAATTCTTTAGATGGAAATTTTGCTATTTTTAGAAGATTTTTGCGGATATTTTGGACTGTAAAATTAATATGGATTGAATTTTAATAAATTTTAAACTTCTAGGATTTATTCTATCCTTTTTTTAACTTTCTTAAGTTAAAGATTCAACAAAGTAAAATATGGATTAATAGAATAGAAATAGCGGATTATGGTCTGCTGTAGTTCGTCCCTTTTTAATTTTATGATAATACAATTGCCAACTTAGTAGGTTCAAGTCCTACTTATAATCATTGAATAGGTTTGAATTGTATTCACTGAACACTGTAAGAATAAGTTTCAATCTTAATATCATTTTATGATCAGCTTCAAATCCTATTATAACTCTTGAAACATGTTCAAGTCCTACTAGCACTTTAGCAATAGGTTCGAGACCTACTAGCACTCCATGAATAGGTTCAAGTAATACTAACACTTTAGAACCAGGTTCAAATCCTAAGAATCCTCTAAGAATACCTTCCATAAATCCACAAATCCCAAAAAAATAAAAAGTAGCTGTTTTATTCAGTCACAAAAAAGTCAACTTCTTAGATAAGTCCACAAAACCTCTCACAAAGTATTCTGCACAAAAAAGAAAATAACGATAATATTCAATATCATGACTATATCATCTTCATCTCAGTTGAGACAGAAACTCAAATACAAAAAAAAAAGATTTGCAGAGAGCAGTAATCTCATTTAGAGAACAGAACAATGTTTGATATCAAATAAAAAGATTAAATAAATCAGTCAGCACGAGGAGTTTATTTAAATTAAATGTAGATTTTCTAATTCCTTGATTTATGGATTTAGTTTTTTTTTTTTTGTAGTTGAATATTTATGAGCTTGTAAGGATGAATGAGTTTTTAAGGGAAGAAGATGAAGTTTTTGTAGAATTTATGATGTAAAATTGTTGTTGGAACTTGATGGAATTAGGCTTGATGTGATTTATTCGGAATATGATTAAAAGTAGTTGAAATTAAGGAATTTATAGCAATTTAATAGCCAAACTGAATTCAAATGAGACAGATCATGCATCAAACCTGAAAGTCAGCTCAATTAAAACCTCAACTTCAAGAACTCAACTTAATTTGAAATATTTTTACTGCCCGTACACAAATGCACTTTTTAATGCGATTTCTTTAAATCGTGCTTTTAAAAAATTACAAATAAATTATCGATAAGCAGTCTTTATTGACTTCTCAAGCACACAAAAAAAAATTATAAATGCATCGAAAAATTTATCTTTTCTGTCTCTTTGCTCCTGCAGCACAGTCATGCAGATAAAAAGACTTGCTTCACACAATCAATATCCAATAAACAAAATTTATTTGCATTATAAATTCTCTTGGAAATTTGAATTGAAAAATAAGGAATTCAAAAGTTATTGAAACTACTAAATTTAAAGCTTTAGATAGAGCCACTTTAATTCCCATACTGACGATAAATTTTACAAGCATTCCTGATCATTAAAAAGTAAATTTTACATATGCAAAGGTAGCGTCTACCTGATTCCAACTGGAATTTTATTTCCCACAAGATTCCAACATAATCATCAGCATATCCAACAAGAATTTTACATTGTTGCCAATTTTTACTATCATTATCACCAATTATGACAGTCATGAAGTCATTTGTCTAAAATGCACACGGGAAAAATTTTATGCATACACAAAAAAACACGTTTTCAGTTCCACAACATTCGCGTGGTCTTAGACAGATGTTACTAGTTTTTTTATGAATGAAGAACAAAAAAAATATTCAAATTACTGCGAAATAGCGTGGAACGATGAGGAAGGACATGATACTGTACATGAATGTAGGTCTATGTCAGGAAAAGGGAAATGAAGCGAAAGAGTAAAATTTTAATATTTTTTCTGTGCCTACATGAAACGGCTGACAACCAGTATGCATGTACTTCCTGTAACTTTTCAGGCATTGTTGCAACAATGAGGCAGATTAATGAGTAGTCAGAACTGCATGTTATGTACCAAAATAATAATAATAATAATGAATTGCATTTCTTTATGTTAATGATATGCTTAATAGCTGACTCATTCATCAATGGAATTGGCAACATGAATAATTATGACAGGTGAAAAATTACCCGGAGATCGAAAGGTGCGAGTGAAATTGTGACTCATTTTAAAGGCTTAACAAAAAAAAATTCCCGCAATTCTGTTGAATTGGATATTGTTATTCATGTTATGAGGGATAGTGGCATGGTTGTGTGACTTTTATGCTGTAAATATTGACTCTTCAGGTTCTTTGAAATTATGAAATTGTTCGCGAAATTCGCTTAAAAGTAATACGTTAGTCACTAAGTCATAGTCGTAGTCACAAAGTGTGTCAGAAAGTTATCATCTCTAAGTTGAAATGCAAATTAGATTAATTAGCAACTTTCTTTGTTTTCTGTAAAAAGTCTTCAACTGTTTAGCATTTGATGATTTTAAGAAAATTTATTTAAATATTTGCTTATGACTTAATTAGCTATTCATTTATAGAGTTCAAAAATTAGCAAATTTTGTTTGAGAATTTAAAGTTTATTATTTCAAATGTATCTAGCATTATTTCTTGGAATGAAAGGAACTGGTTGTGGATAACTTAGTTTTTTGATGTAGTTTGAATTAAAAGTCAATTTCGTAAGATTATTACAAGCTTGGTGAGACAACTGCATGCTAGCAGTTCAAATTATCAGCAATGCAGGTGCTCAATCTTCAGTAAGCATTCTGGATCAATTTTTATGGATGGAGTTTTAATAGACTTTTAATTTTATATCAACATCGTTCACTTAATCAAATGGTAAAGGATCTGAATTGCTGGTTAAGTGATGCATTCCTAGAGTAGCTAGACTAGATTGGGCCTATACATTTGTTCAAATTCAACTGAAAACTTAATTATTTGATCTATCTCAAGAGAAATAACTTAAATCTAAGTACTAGAATGTACTGGAAAGTTCCTAAAGGTACTAGAATGTACTAAAAGTTTCAAAAAGTGCCCCAGAAGATACCAGTAGCTACTATGAAGTACTAGAAAAATACTAGTAGAAATAAGTGAGTACTAAAAGTTACTGGGAAGAACTAGAAGTTAATCTGAGAAACAAGAGAAGGTACTAGAAGAAAATAATACGTACTAGTAGAGGTACTAGTAGTGGTACTAGGAGAGATACTAGTAGAGGTACTAGTAGAGGTGCTAGTAGAGGTACTAGTAGAGGTACTAGTAGAGGTACTAGTAGAGGTACTAGTAGAGGTACTTGTATAGTAGAGGTAATAGTAAGTATTAGTAGCTTCTATAAACTAGGAACAATTCTGAAGTTCAGACATATTTTCCGCATTTAAAACTTCCAAAAAACCTTCTCATTTGCAAATAAACATCTTGAAATAAAAAAAATTATGCAACATCACAACTTCTTCTTCAATAATGTCTACATTGTGTAGTATTCTCAATATGTGTACATTGTATTAAACCACTTGTGCTAAATTTTATGAAAGCGCAAAAAAAACTTTACAGTTTCTCTCGAATGAAAATATTTCTAATATGCTAAGATTTCCTCAAACAGCAGGTTATTGGAGGAATTAAATTCGCAATGTAATCAAACAAAACTGTTATTTTTTTTTTTCATCCAACTATCGACATAGCACGTAGTAAGTCATCAAAAAATATTTTATGATATTTGATATCACATCGTAAACTATATCATCTCTAGTAAGTGATAAAGCTATTGTATTTCGGATTATTAATAAGTAACTGAGTGACAGAATCGATATATTTGGTATAAAAAAGCTTTGACGCATGCTAGTTAAGTAGGAATTAAAATTTGGATGTGATACACGAAAGTTTTGGGTGGCATACATTATTTTTGAGTGGGGTAGCTTGAGTTAAATTTTGGATTGAAGACATTTGACTCCTCGTAAGTTTTTGAATGACATCTTTTAATTTTCAGCCTGTGGCGCTTAATGACTTCATTTTTTGGGAGAAATTTTGAGTGGGATTTGTATGAATTCCATAAAGCTAGTTGATGAAGCTACTTTTAAGGTTAGAATTGTGGATTCTCAAGCTAATCTACCCAAAATTGATCCAATTATCTTAAAAAATTACAAGTTGACCAAGCACAATTCTCAAATAATCAGTATCATTATATCCCGTTACACAAACATCACGTATCAATACATCCAACAAGCAAGTAAATAATCATAATCACATATATTGCCAAAAAAACAAATCTCTTCTGCGGTAGGTTATAAAAAAATCTCTGTGTCATCATAAACAAGCAAATGTCAACAGAATGAGTTAAAAGGTTTTGAAAATATTTAAAAACTTTATATCAAGTGCTTAGGAATTTAGAGATGTGGGGGAATTTGTTTGTGCTGTCTAATGCTTTATGAGACAGATGTGATGCTACAAAAGAGGATAAGTGATTAAGTAAGGAACAGGTGACAAACCTGGAATTATGAATTTATAAAATCATTTTTTTCTATAGACGTCATTTATGAACAATCCCCAGAATGTCCCAAAAATATTTAATTCCTACACATTTGTCGCTTTACGCACAATAATAATCATGTTATGAACACTCAAAAATCTTATTATTTTTTCAATCCATCAGCATGAAAAAAGAAACAAAATAAAAGTTTGTTAAATAAAAATTTCACAAAAAAAGGCAACTCATAAAAAAAAATCTTCATCATCACCGAGTCTGATTGTTAAAAGATTTTGTACTTTTGTGTATGAAAAATTTCCGGTGAAACATTCATCAAATCTGAGATTAATAACAACAAGAAATGTTAAGGCTCAGAAAAAAAAAGTCTGCTTTTGTTGTCTAAACAGGTAGAATAAAGCAAATCCACACACAGCATTATGTACGAGTATGCAACGCTCCATGCAACTCAATTTCACACACTAACTGACATACCCATTTTATCGGTGTTTTCAATAAAATATTCCCATATGCTCATGCTACCTTTAAATTGTGTAAGTGCATCCTCATAGCCGCCTTGCGGTGTTGTTTCATGCGGCTGTTGTTGATAAGATGCAGAATGCTTATTCCTTTTCGGCGGTGTTGCATAATTATCATTTCCATTGGTTGAGTATTGACTATTTTCACGTGAATGAGAGTGACCACGCGGCGAGCCTTTTACGGGACCATCGTAAAGTGCCTCGCGTGGATCAAATCCCAAGCGATCTTTATAATATGACTGATGTGACATAATGAATGACTGGATTTTATTATTTCACTTCTTTTGTTCTTGATTTTTATTTCACTTCACATAAAAATAACTTTTTTTTTGTGTCTTTATTCTTAATTTCACAAAAATGGCACATGAATTTCGCAGTGTCTATAAATTTTCTTTGTTACTTCTTATATTCACAATAATTACTATTTATTCTGGCTCTTATTTTCTTTCGTAATAGTAATAATAACACAACAAGTAACGATGATGTGGATTCCTCAGGTGCTAATCACTCCTCTTCTTTCCCTATATTTTTTAAACCTTCTTTTTTTTTTGATGTTGTTGACTGGTAAAGTGTTGTTGTTGCCTTTTACACTTTGCCGCCTTTCATTTACTCATTCAAGCAGACTTTTCATACTGAAATAATTTTCTTCGCATGTATGAAAAAAAAAAAATATTCATAAAAAAAATTTATTCTTGGCTGTGAAGAAGAAAGAGAAGCGACGATGAAGAAGCAACGCAAAGAGAAATGATTTAAATTTTTAATTTTTTTGCAACGTCAACAAAGGAATTTTTAATGTTTGATTCAGCACATTTTAACGAGTTCATTCAGTTTTTTGATGTAGAGTATGCTGTAGGGCTTGTGCCTGTAACTTAGTTATGCATTTTTGATAATTTTGACATTTTTTGATTTTTTGACGACAAAATGTTAAAGTATGAATTTTAGAAAACTGTTTTAATTTGAATTTTAAGAAAACGTTAAAATTCACTTTTGAATTCCAGATCACTGATAAAATTTGAATTTCAAAAATCTTTTATATAGTTGAATTAAAGCCATATTCAGGCTGGTGTCAAAATAAGACTCAAAGAAATGTAACTTAAACTACAATAATTCCAAATTTGAAATAAAGAAAGATTTGTATGTCAAAAATCTTTTAAATTTGAATTTTAAATAACCTTAAAAATTTGAATTTTAAATAACCGTTAAAATTTGAATTTCAAAAAACTGTTAAAATTTGAACTTTAAACAAAAGTTAAAATTTGAACTTTAAACAAACGTTAAAATTCGAATTGTAGAAAACTGTTGAAACTTTAAGTTTCACAAAATCGATTAGTTTTGAATCAATCAAAAACTTTTAATGCTCTTGAATTTCAATAAATCAAATTTCCATTCCACAAAAAAATTACCAGTTCAAAAAAACTGATCAAAACCCACCAGTACCCCCACATCCATCACTATAACTCAATTCTAAAAATAAGTTAACAATGTTAAAACCAGTTGAAACTATTTTTATTCGCATCGCATAAAACTATATAAAGAAAATAGAGAGCATATCATGTCAAGGGCAGATTATCTATCCAAATATGTTCATCATAAATAGTCGCATTAGATAAATATCAAAATAGACGTAGAGGCAGTGAATTGATGATGAGAATGTTCATATATATTACAACAGTATGTTTCCATTCTTGGAATGAAATATGATGTCAAAGTGAATAATCTTTTTCAAGTTTGTAGCTTGTGATGAGTTCAATTGAGTATTATTTTGAAATTAAAATCGAATATTGAGGCTCAGACGATGAGCTTTAAATTACGATTAATTTATGACTCTAAATTGCCAAAATAAATAAATATTTGACACTACTTTTGACATGTATTAAATATCATGAGCTAAATCTTACTCATTTAGACAAAAACTGTCAAAAGAATGAGAAAGGAATTGAATAAAAATTTCAGATGAAACAGCAGGCGAGGATGAATAGCTTGAAGAAAATGTAATCAAGCGCCAGTTGAGAAGAATGAAAAGATTTTTGAAATATTTTTTGGATTGGATGTTTTATTTAAATAAAATTGAACTTTTCTTAAAAAGTAAAGAATTGAAAATTAAAAAAAGTGTTAATAACTTAGATTTAATTCAAAAACTTCAATAATTGCTTAGGATTCGAACCGTCATAACTTCAGATTTAAATCTTTTTATCTAATCTCATGATTTTTTTTTCTTACAAATAAAGTTTGGCAATTTTCAATTCTTAAATGAAATTCTTAAAACGAGTGCAATTGCTTTATATCCTAATAGACATCATTTATGAACAACCCTCATAATTCCATAAAAACTCATCATAAATTCCCTCCAAAAACTGCAACAAAGTTACAAAGTCTATCAATACCTGAGAATCATTGTCTACACAACTTAATAACCTCAACAATCTCTCTCTAATCTGTCTAGATCACCTTCAGACCTTGAGATGAATATGTCAAAAATCACGTTCATTTAATGAGCAGAGAGGGGAAACTTATAAGAATTGAAATTAGAAAATTGCCTCATCATAAAAAATTAATTTTTTTATTTTTTGAGAATTGAACACGAAATTTTAGATTTTTTTCAACGGTCAATCAAATTCACTTTAAAGGCTCTGCAGCTAATGGAATTAATTTTGCATTTATATTCTTAATTGAGGACTCTAATTGCTTCTTTTTCTCGGTGGTCTTTACAATTTATTTTATATTTCTTAAAATCTACAATATAAACAATTTTTTGGCTTCCAAGAAAGGCAACAACAACACAACACTCAGCAACACGATGACGCTATGCACTTCTTAATAATTGAGTGACTTGGGTCATCAATCAAAATTAAATAATCCCTTGGATGTGAATGAAGTTGGAGAATTTTAATTTATTTTTTTTTTTCTTGCTGGATGATTATGGAGGAGCATGAGCTTAATTGAAACAATTTTATGGATAAATTTTTGGGTTTTGTGGATATAAATCAGTTATTTTGGGCTGAATTTAATTGAATTGAGGAGGATCCAGTTAAGATTCTTAGTTAAATATTGAAACTTTTTATGAAAATATTTTTTTTTATTTTTTTAACTTAATTTTTGATTAAAACAGGGTCCTTAGTAGCATTTAGCCAAAGACTAGGCATCTTTTAGAAACACCTGACAACTTTAGATCCAAAAACTGCACTAAATCTCCTCAGAACATTAAAATTACAGCCCAGACAACAATAATTCAATAAAATCTATCAACAGAGGCCTCTCAAAATCCAACCGAGTCCTCCCTCTTGCCCTAAATGTTGACCAATTAACTACAACTATAGCCAAATTAAAAACCCACATAATCATCCACCAAACGAATATTTTCCAAATTAAATCACAAGGATAGCTCCAGCTTTGCATTAAATTCACATAAAAATTCACCATTTGTTCGTTCAAACACGACAGTCCAGCGAGTGACTGCTTTTATAGTTTTTTTTTTTTTTTTATTTACTTTTAAAGTCACCCTGGACGCGATTCTTCTTATTTTCACTTTGTCGTCTTTAATTAACTTTTAATTGTTTTCAAAAACTTCAACAAAACAATAAAGACGAATTTTCTTCGTACTTAGAAGTAAGAATAGAAGTAAATTTGAATATTCAAATGAACCACTTTAAAGATATGAAAAAAAAAGAGTTCTTCTCAAACTGCAGCTGACTAATAGCTGCGTTGAAAGAGAAACAAACAAAAACAAAAAAAAATTATTTTATGATCACGATCTGTTCGATTCGAAACTCAATAGGGGACTAAAGTGTTTTGTCTGTCTTCATTCGCTCTCAACTTTTTGAAAAGTATGAAACTTAAAAACGACTTTAATGGAAGTAAAGAAAGAGACTTTACTCGTAAATGGAAGTGTTTTGTGTGAGAAGATCGCGATCTACGGTGGTGTGTGACTGCCCACATGAACAAGAATTGAGAGAGACTTTATATAAATTTCTTATTGGAATTAAAACAGGTTTTTAACACAAACACATGTGGAATCAGATGTGAGGCACACTTCACTCTCTTTCGGAATTCTCTCTCTTTCTTGACTTGAAGTTTTTTTTAATTTACAGGTGTGTTGAATAACAAACAATGACGTCATTGTAAACATTCTGAAACTTGTGAACTCCTTCAGATCACAAACTTTACACCCACGATCATGATCATTCTACATGAGTTCCGATCTACCTTAATAATTGCTTGAATCGCTACCAGATGACTTCTTTAACACACATATACATGCTCATGTCTTGTGCGTGGGATATTTCAATGAAAATTATCATTTCTTAATTATGAATCAACACACACGAAGAAGGACATAAATGGAATACTTTTTAAGGCTCTGTGACTTTCTTAAATCAAGAAGAATCGCAAAAACTTTTTTTTAAAAAAACTCGACCTGACTGTCTGGAGATTCATTCAAAAAGAAATTAATCACAATTGCCGTCATGGCCAATTTCAGAAAAAATGAGTAGAAAAAGAAGGAAAGCATCCAGACATATTATCAGTGGTAGCTGTCCTTAAATGGTTCATTACAGACTCGTTTTTCTGATGATTTTGTTGTTATTGTTGTTATCGCCTCTTCAATTACAAATTTCACTGTTGCTGAAAGCTGTTTTTCTTCTTTATTTTTAGATGAAATAAATATTGGACTTGTGTTTACTTTTGGATGTCTATTGTGTTGACGGTATGGGATGAAAATATGACGTAATTTCAGAGACAATTGTGGTTCATTTTGTCTAGTATGCAAGTTGATGTGGTAATTGATGTATTGGTGATAATTTATGGATAAAAAATGAGTAGATTAATGCAAATATTTTTGCTAAGTTAGGCGTGAAGTTTGGAAGCTCAATTGAGTTTTAAGAATTTGCGAATTTTCAACTTTTGAATTGATTTTAAGACCTTTAAAATGATTTTAAAGCTAACGGATTTCTACTTCAAAAATAAAAACAAAATGGCGATTTTTTTCTCACTTGGAAAAGTTTTTTTGATGATTCTAGAATTACAGGTCATGTTTTATCAAAAGCATTAGTTTTTATGATCAAAAAAGGTGGCAAAGACTAAATGGCAACAATTTGACAGCATTTAACATCAAAATCAATTAATTATTCAAAAAAATCGTATTTAAATTCAGATATTGACCATCTATGCTCCTCAAACTTGTAAACATCAACCTTTAAATATCAAATTATCACAAACTTTCAGCAGGTAACTCATAAATCCCTTCCTTTCAATTCCCATCACACCCAATTCATGTCAATTCTCAATCAAAAGGTTTTTCCCATTTGACAGATTGATTTCAATCTGATTCATGCTTATTTCTGCCTCGTTTACAAACAAACAATCCCCATTACACTTCCTTGTCATTACAGCAATAATTTATCACACAGAAAATGCGTCCAGAAACCTTCATCAATAATGTTATCATTCACACTACTGTCTTTGCAATTTCATTAATTTCAAATGAAAATAAAACGACAGCACAAGAGAAATAAAGAAGGAAAAGAAATATATGTTGTCGGTGTCACATTGAATGTCAACAAATTGTCTCCATTTTCTCGCTTCGTATATTAAAAATATGAAATTTTTTATTTTATACTCTTTTTTTGCCTTTTTGATGTGCTAAATGTATGACAGGACATCAACTTCATGTCTAAGTACACAAAATATTTTATGCATGATGACGATGATGACACCACAGCAACAGAAACGATGGACAATTTTTTCGCTGTCTTATATTTTTTAAAACAAAAGAGCACAAAAATGAGAAATTTTTATATTTTTTTCGGTATGTTCGAGACACTTGTTGATGATCTTCGCGAATTATTTAAAGTGTCATAATGTCTCTGTTGCCTACAAGAACAAGAATGCGGCAATGAGCTATGGAAAGTCATTCATTAGGAACGTTTCTTTTCTGTTTAAATGCTCTTGGCTGAATTGCTCATTACTTAAGTGTTGTGAATAATTTGTCGTTGGCATGAGCACTTAAGAATGTCGGATTTGAAATACACAAAGTGAAAATAATAATGAATTATTTCACGGATATTAATGTGTGATTATAAATGACACTATTTTGGACCTTTTTACTTTTTTTTGTTGACTTTATTAGTCACTGACAAGATTAAGTTGTTTTTGAATGATTTAATAAATCTTAAGAAAGTGAAATTTTATCTTAATTAATGTGACATAAAAATTAATTATTAGAAATTCGACTTGTTTTCTTGTCACCTGTGGATAAATGATATATTCTCTATTGGATGTAACGGAGCTTGACATTTAAAAAATTAAAAAGATTCAAAATATATGGTGTGAATGGCACGCATTTGGATAATTGTGATCGCGTGCTATAAGAAATTTGTGCCGATTTAACTCTTTTTTGGGAGTGTTGAAGATGTTCAAAAGAATTTGAATAAAATCACTAAAATTTGCAAGTTTGTTTTTCAAATTTTAGTAAACCGTTAAAATTTGAACTTTTTATAACCGTTAAAATTTGAACTTTTGATAGTTCTAAAGACTTTAAATTCAAATTTTAATACTTCCTGACCATCCACATACTCAACTTTCACCAAACCTCAAGTTCCTCATTTTAATTCCTTCTAATCGTTTCAGGACCTTATAAGACATGGCCACAATAATATTGCGAAAATTTTCTTTATACTCTTATAAGGAATAATGAGTTTATTAGACTTCACACATAACAAAAATGCTCAAGCTCAACAGGTAGACATTGTAAATTAGCAATTGTGATGGGCGGACTGAGTAAAGGTTGAACTGTGCAGCTTTAAGCATGAAGCTTAATGACTTTACTTTCTGTATTATTTTCTAAAAGGAAAGCTTATGAAATAATATTAAGGATCATTATTATGCGCTTAGTTAAATTATTATTTTTTCAGTCACTAAAATGAGCCAAGAGAAGCTTCAAATATGGCAATATGTTTATGTTTATGTTGTGATCTTGAAACTTTTTGGACATTATTGACGAGATAGCTTAAATGTCAATAATTATTGTCATAAATTACGGTTTTGCATGGTAAAACACTTGAGTTACTGATTGGATGGGATTATGATGATTGTAGAGTAGATTAGGTTGTAGATGTTGTGACTAGCTTAATATAAAGGTATCATTGCATATCCTTGAAGATGAATAGGATTATGTCAATCAAAGTCTAGCAGATGGCGAGCCTTCATGTTACATTAGTCATAAATCGAGAAATTTTCAATAAAACTAACTCAATGCTACATTTCTCAATGAATGACGCGAGATTCTTCTCAGAACTTTAGAATATTTTAAAGGTTGCCTTATTTTGCAAATAAAATGAACTCATGATGATGAAGTCATCGACTTATTCGGAAGGTTTATGAAATTCTTGGAGATTGAAGATCTTTTCACAGTAAAATGACTTTTTGATTGTCAAAATTGGATTCACAAACTTAAAAACCTAGGAGATGCAGCTAAGTTATGGCCCATTTCCATTCCATCAAATTCTTCAAACTCCAATCTCTTTCATTTCCACTTCAATCATTAATATTAATTAAGTTTCAAATGCATAAAATGCAATAAACTTCTTCATGATGTCAATTTTCTCTTTAATTATGCCAATAACACTTCCAACTGCACATTCAAATCAAATGAAGAAGAAATTAGAAGAGAGAATTGAGAAGGATTGTGACATGTTTTTATAAGAAGCGTAGTCGCGAATATTGATTAAAATTCCATCGCAGTCATTTTCATAAGAACACTAAACTTTCCATATTTGAAGGAATTGCTTTGCTCAATGTGACTTGGACTGTTTTAGTGCGACAAGAAGAGATTTCTTGCTTTAATTTGCTTTGTGAGGACGGTTGAAGTGCAGTGAGTTTACTGAACATTTGAGAGATTTGGATTGGATGCTTTAGCCTTGAGAATATTAGAATAAACTTCATATCTCATCTAGTTATGAGTTAGGTCTCATAGGGCTAAGCTAAGGATAAAGTAAGTGCTGAGTTATCGGATGAACTTCAGTTCCGATCAAGCTTAACTATAGAGCTACTAGTTTGGTACATAGCTAGCTCTGGCATTGAATTGTGATCGTATTAGCTTAGTTTTACTAGAAAAGCTTTAATCTAGTCTACCTTGGATCTCACTGACTTCCTCTATCTACTTTTAGAACGAGAATATCCGGACAAAAAATTACAACATCAAAGTTTTAAGCTTTAACATAAAAATCCTTCAAATTCAATAATGTAACAGTAACAGACCTAAATTCCACAATCTACCTACACATCCAGCAGCCATAAACCTCGAAAACTCGTTTAATTTTTATTTTTAATTACCAAATCTTAAAAGCTTCGTTAATTCAGAATCATTTCTCCAACTCTATCTAATAAAGAACGCACCTATCTTACTCAAAACCTCAATCGCATCACCATATGCATCCAAAACACGCGATTTAAAGTCATTTCCAACACCGTTTCTTAATCAAAGTTTTAGCATCCAATTAAAAAGCAAATGAATGACATTCCAACTAATCTGAATCAAGCTTTACCAGATTCCAAAAGTTAATTACCATAAGAAGCGAAAGAACATGTGTGCTTAGAGGCATGTCGACATGTGAATTAAAATTATTCAATATTTTATTTTATTTTTTTTTTGCATTTTGAATTCCATCAATTCGCCTACGATAATACAATAAAATGTTTATCAATAGCTTCACATTCTCAATCAACTTTGAAAGTTCGTGAGAATATTTTACTTATGCAGCTTTCATCTCGAAAAAAAAAACAACAAACGATTACAATTCTTTTAGTTTTTATGGAATGTATTCATGGAAATGACATCATGACATCATCAAATAAAAGTAAGAAGATCATATAGCGTGTGACTCAGAATGTGCTCGCTATTTTCGCCATAAATGTCTACAATCTACATTCGAATGTGCCAACTTTACGACCATATGGAAGTTTCTGACTTGATGTGGTAAACAAGATTATTGTGTGTGTGTGTTAACGCACCACGAGACACCTACGAATCAGAATTAATTTCGTTGCTTTTCTCGAAAAAAAAGTCATTTTCAACTCCACGCAAATGATCTGGTTTTTTAAAGTTTTGTGAGTATTTTGGAAGGTGTGAAGTAAGTTAAGGGATTAAAAGTCATCGGGACTGCTGAATTGAGGTGTTTCTGCAAAAATATAAGGTATTTTTGACAAGACTAACATAGAAAATCATGAATCTGTCC